AACCTTGCTTGCTGAAAGTGAGGATGATTTGAAGCACTTACTGATGAGGGTCAAAGTCTTCTGTATGGATTACACCTCAACAAAGAGAAAACAAAAATCCTCACAACTAGTCTGACAAATAACATCATAATAAATAGCAAAGAAATTAAAGCTGTCTATGATTTCATTCTCTACTAGGGTCAACAATCAAGGCCCACAGAAGCAGCAGTCAAGATATCAAGGGATGTACTACATGGGAAAACCTACTGCAAAAGACCTCTTTAAAGTGTTAAAAAGCAATGGTGTCACTTTGATGAGTAAGGGGCACCTGACCAAACCATGGTCTTGTCAATCACCTCATATGCATGCAAAAGCTAGATAATGAAAAAGAAAGATCTGAGGAGAATTAATGCATTTGAATTGTGGTGCTGGCAAAGATTACTGAATATACCATGGGCTATTAAAAGAAAAAGTAAATCTATTTTGGAGAAAGTACAGGGAAAATGTTCCTTAAAAGAAAGGATGATGAGACTTTGTCCTGCTTAGTTTGGATGGCATCAGGAAAGACCAATCACTAGAAAAAGGCATCATGCTTGTAAAACAGAGTCAGCAGAAATGAGGGAAACCCTCTATGAGATTGACACAATAACTGCAACAATGGGCTCAAACATATCAAGAATTGTGAAGATGACATAGTACCAGACAATATTTTGTTCTGTTAACATTGCCATAAGTCAGAGTCAATTCAACAGCAACTAACAACAGATTATGTATGTAGCATGACAGCATTCTTATAAAATTAAACAATAAAATGATACACATGTTAACTAAAAAAATAATCAACTATTTAAAAAAACAACAAAAAAAAAAAAGCAAAAAATGGTAAACAAAAATCCAACTAGTCATCACCTCTGGAGGGCAGGCAAAGAACAGAAGAGGGATGAAGCACATAGATGGCTGTGAGGAATTTGGAGATCACAGTTCTTAAGTTAGGTGTTCACAGCATGATTATGCTTTATAGTTTACATATACCACATAAATTCTTTTGTGTGTTGAGAAAAACTGAGCCAATTAAAATATACTTTAGTATTCATATATATCTATGTCTTAGATAAACTTCACCACATGAAAAAGAAAATACCAAAGTGCAAGTTTGGTTCTACTTACCCTATTCTAACCATTTTTGACTGAGGTATTACCATTTATGATTCTGAAAACCTTTAAATGAGAAAGTATGTAGAAACAGCAAGGTATAGAGTATATCTCTTAGAAAAAAAACATTCAGACAGCCTTTGTTTATAAGAGTTTTCTTTCACCCCATTCATAAATCTTAACAACTGTACAGACAAAAGAGGCTCTGAATAACATAAAAATCACTACGATGTCCTAGATCATTTGCACAATAGAAGAATATTTCAATGTAAACTAGACAAGGGCAGTGGCTTTGCATCCTCTGGCATGTAACAGTCAGTAAATACTTGCTAAACGACTCTATACTACTGCTTGAATGAATACTGCATGATTCCAGTACACTACAATCATTAACTACACAGGTTTTCAAATTGACTCACCTACTTAAAATAGCTTTACAATGCCCTCTGCTGGTTTCTACTTTGTAGTGGAAGTAAAATAACCTACTTTGCTATTCATATTGCTTCATTCATCTGAAATACAGTAGAAACCACAATGGAATAATATTAATTATACCAGCTGTATACTCTTATAAGAATATGAATCTACAAATACCATCTTTTACTTTTCAAATTCAACTCATCAACAGAAAATTTAACAAACTTTATATGCTTCAAACTCTTGTTCCCCTTAATCAAAGGGTAAGTTATAATAAGATGAATGGAAGTAATTTGTTTAGCCATATGCAATTTCTACATAAATCCTTTCTCCTTATAGATAATATACCTCATTCTTAAATGTTCAAAGAATTTAAACAACTTAGAACATAGCATGTAGTTTTTCATTCAACAGTACAGATCTTAGTAAAGTAGTACAAAATTTCTTTTCACTCTAAAGGATATTTGTTATTGTTGTTATGTGCCGTCAAGTCAGACCCGACTCATAGCGACCCCTCCTTGGATTTCCGAAGCAGTATCCCTACGAAAGTAGATTGTCCTATCTTCCTTCAGAGGAGTGGCTGGTGGGTTTGAACTGCCAGCCTTCTGGTTAGCAGTCAAGTGCTTTAGGCACTACACTACCAGAGCTCCTCTAAAGGTTATTGTTGTTGTTATTGTAGTTATGTGCCGTCGAGTCAGACCCAACTCAAAGTGACCCCTCCTTGGGTTTCTGAGGCGGTATCACTACGAAAGTAGATTGCCCAACCTTCCTTCCGAGGAGTGGCTGGTGGGTTTGAACTGCCAGTCTTCTGGTTAGCAGTCAAGTGCCTTAGGCACTATGCTACCAGAGCTCCCTAAAGGTTATTAGTCTCTAGTAAATAATTATACAGCCCAGCCTTTTAATACTTAGTATTAAAATAGAGTACAATAAAAACTTATCTCTAATGCATGCTGTATATTTTTATATATGCTTAAAATATATAGTCATAGTAAACTTCTTATATTCCTAGTGAAAATCAAAGACATCTCCATTTATAAAACAGTTCCTAAAACAGAACTATTTCAGTTTATACTCAAAAGGCAATTCCATTTATAAAATTCAACAATGTTACTCAGTTCACCTGAGTCAAGAGCTAAGTATAACATGTTACTGAAGGATCCACTGAAAATATCTGCCAAGTATCAAAATTATGCCTGAACAACACAACATAAAAGTATTTTGTGATTGGTACAATATTTGTTTTCAAATTTTCTACTATTCTATAATACTTGTTATATAATAAATAATATACAGGCAGTCCCTGGATTATGAACAAGTTCCCTTCCTAAATCTGTCTTTAAGTTAAATTTGTACATTGAGTCAGAAGAGTTAGGTATGGCGTGTATGTAAAGCCAGTTAGTCAAATGTTTTAGTATATTAAACCAAAAAACCAAACCCACTGCCATCGAGTCGATTCTGACTCATAGCAACCCTCACTGAGTTTCCAAGACTGTAAATCTTTATGGAAGGAGATCGCTCTATCTTCCTCCCGTGGAGCAGCTGGTAGGTTTGACAAATGCCTTACCCATTATGCCACTCACTTACAAGCTCTCATTATCTGACATTTTGCATTTATGACAATAGTAAAAAAAGTCTATTATTTGACTATTTTGTGCATTAATAATGCACATTTGCCAGTAATAAACGCCAAGGTTCAAGGTGACAGTAATGCTGGCTATGATTATTATGTGTCAACTTGACTAGGCCATGATTCTCAGTAGTTTGGCAGTTACGTAATGATGTAATTTGGCAATTACATAATAATATAACGTAGCAGTTTTGTGATGATGTAATTTGGCAGTTACATAATGATGTACATCCTTCATTTTGTGATCTAATACAGTTATCCTCCATTTTTATGTAATAACTTGATCTTTGAAGCTTATGATATAGATTATGAGGTGTGGGTGTACAGTATACCTTTCCATACACTGCAACATTAGAGAAATACTTCTACATACACTAAAGAATCTTTAACGTAATAATACAATAATAATCATAACAATAATGTTTTGATGTGTGTCACAAAGTAGTACCCATTTGTCATTAGGAGTCATTAAATGTACCTCAAATTTTTAATATAATAGGCTTTATAGGAGTTGAATCATAACTATGGATTGTTGGTAAGACAGATCTTCAAAACCCAAGGACTGCTTGTATTTAAAATACTGTGAATTGTACTACAAATGAAAAGAGGACTTTTAGCATATTATTTTAAATCATCTCTCTTTTTTAAAAAAAATTACATGCACATTGCAGTCAGTACTAGGGATAAATTCTTACTTATCTAGACAAAAGAACTTCGTAACTATAAGAAATCTTGGCTGTTATCTTTCCTAATCCCCTTTTTAAGGCCAATGAGAAAAAAGACCTTCAGAGTGATAAACTAGCATGCATGATTAGGTAACTATATTTAGGGATAAATAATTAAAATTGCTAAACCAATATACTTTTCTACATTGTTGTTCAGTAAAATTAAAATCTTTGATTTATGAAGCAGTAAAAATTGTATTTGGTTAGACTAGAATTCAGCAAATGTATTATTCTGATGAATGAGGTAAAAATAACCAATTCGAACTCCTCAGATATTTAAGCTTTTAGTTTCAGGCTCTTCATCTGTAAAATGAAGACTTTATTAGTGGTTCCAGTTAGTTCACTTGGGAGCACCTTGGAAGAAAGTCCTGGAAAATCAACCATGGAAACCCTACAGAGCACAGTTCTATTCTCACTTAACTCTTACATGAGGTTGCATTCAGTCAAAATCAACTCGATGTCAACTGGTTTGGTTTTTATGTTTCATGGGTCTAACTACAGAGATCCTTAGGGGTAGGACTTATAATTTATTCATGTATCCCTAAAAATGTGACACAGTATCTGATTGATCTCTCCTTCCAGAAAAAAAGGTTTTGGTAAAATTGGTTGAGGTAAATTGAATATAACTTTATCTTCTAAAGCTCTAAGATAAAACATGTTTCACTTATGAACTCTCCAAAGTATAAAAAAAAATTCATAACCAGATTATCTATTACATAAAAATTCTGATAAAACAAAACAGTATTTCTCATTTCCATATAGCAATGAATTCTTTGTATTATCTCCAGCCTGCAAATAGTCTGATCCACATCTTGCAAAGACTGTAGAAAGCAACATTATAAAGAACAAGTCCTAAGTTATGAATTAGATAACTAAGTAAATAATTCATCTTTAGATAAACAAGGTGTAAATATGCAAACATGGTCTATCCAGGTTAGGTGGGCACTGAATGATAATTTATATTCTTTACTGTGGATTTTCAATGCCTGAAAACAAAAGTAGAAGACATGATAAATCAGAACAGAAATAGCATTTTCCTTCCATAAACACACATAAAAATGTTATGATGGCCCCAAACTTATCATTCCAACTTTACTTACTTGATGGCCCAAGGACATCTTTGCTATCACCCAGAAGCTTTTAATGCAGGGTAATTGAGCAGCAAACAAACACAGTCCAAACCAGGCAGAAGCAAAATGCATCAGGACGGAAGCAGCAGTGAAACAAAAGGACAAGGAAAATAGCATTAGTTTATAAGTAGAAAGCACATGCACATCAATCCTAATAATCATAATTTATAAGAAATTTATTTTCACTCTTTGAAAAAAAAAAAAAAAGGCTCTGGCTTAAGCAGTATCAAGTATTTTCTTTTAATTTTGGAAAATGAAGGTGGGAAGAAAATAATGGAATTGCCCAAATTTTTTGTTTTGAAAGTTACTGAAGTAAAAAATTACTTTTAATTATAATTTAAGATATGGGTTAGGAGCAATAAAAATTATTTAGAGACACAAGGAGCAGCCAAAAGTTATCAATTTCTTAAATTTAAGTGGTTTATAAATATGTTACACCTCATGCACCATTAAATATTAGTTTTGCATGCCATGAAAGCACTTAGCATTACATAGAGATATAGTCTGCTTCTTATACGAAAAGAAAGGAATTAACATTTATTGAGTGCTTATTATATGCCAAGCGTTATGTGAAAAGTTTCTACAAAGACATGAATAAACTAGAACAACTTGTTCTCAAATGGTAAAAAACAAAAAAGAAAACTGATCAGAAAAGTAAATTTTATTAAGTAAGACAAAATGCTCTTGAGGACCTATTAACTATCAAGCACATTGGAGCTACTGGTATTTAGGAAATCAAAAGATGCAATTCTTGAATGAAGAGTTTGCAAACAACGGAAAGAAACAGGAAAAAAAGTACTGGCTTTTTCTCTAGTAACTATTTTCAACACACAATATTACTCCAAATGTTGCCTATGAATAAATTTTTTTGGTCTCCCTTGGTAGGTATAGGGTTCTCAGATCTCCTTAATTTTCAAATGTCAAGTATAGTAACATATGAAAACTAAAGTTAGTAACAGCAAATTCCCAGTGATTACATTATTGCTTGTCTTATTTAAAGGGAGTGAGGGGACTCTTAAATGGCTAGTTTTTTTTTTGTTGTTGTTGTTGTTTAAAAAAAAGGTAAAGAATTTTTTAAAATCATAGCAAATTATTTGCTTTAAGCTTCTGTCTCCTTGGAAAAAGTTTTGGACCTGCTACTTTCCTAAAGTGAGGGCTATTTCACAATTCTTCAAATTATGTTCTAAAGTCTTAAAGGCATTTATTTCTATTTTCCTTTTTCTGTGGTTATCCCATTTAAGATTATTCTTCTATAAACTGATTTCAGTTTCACATATAAGCTTAAAAAATACATAGCCTTGGTGACAATGAACTAACTGTGCTCAGGACTTTATTACAGATAGCAACATTATCACAACTAGCAACTATAAAGTAACTGAGGTAGGCAGTCTCTAACATGAAATCACTGTAACTCAAAATCAACTCAATATCAACAACAGCCTCTAACATGGTTCCCAATGACGCCCTGCTGTTGTTACGTGCCGTCGAGTCGGAACCAACTCATAGCAATCCCTCCTTGGGTTTCCAAGGCAGTATCACTACGGAAATAGATTGCCCCACCTTCCTTCTGAGGAGTGGCTGGTGGGTTTGAACAGCCAGCCTTCTGGTTAGCAGTCAAGTTCCTTAGGCACTGCGCTACCAGAGCTCCTTATGACCCCCTACTTCCTATTACTAATGAGCTCATGTAATCATTTTTCCTTGAACAAAGCTGGACTTAAATAACTACTAAGGAACAGAATACGGCAGAAATGGTGGAATATTACTTTTGAGATTAGAGTTGTTGTTGTTAGGTATTGTCAAATCGGTTCTGACTCACAGCAACCCTCTATACAACAGAATAACACACTGCACAATCCTGTGCCATCCTCACAATTGTTGCCATGTTTAAGTCCACTGTTGCAGCTACTGTGTCAATCTATCTCACTGAGGTTTTCTGTTTTTAGCTGACCCTCCACTTTACCAAACATGATGTCCTTCTTCAGGGATTGATCCTTCCTGATATCATGTCCAAAGTATATGAGACGAACTCTTTCTCATTTTCAGCAAGCAAGTTTGCATCACCTGCATTATCACGGGTTGTTATTCTTCCTCCAATTGTGATGCCATGCTCTTTTTCAGATAGCCCCCCTTCTCAGATTATCTGTTCATTATACAGATTGAGTAAGTATGGTGAAAGGCTACAACGCTGACACATACCCTTCCTTATTTTAAACCATGCAGTATCCCCTTGTTCTGTTCGAACAACTGTCTCTTGGTCTGCGTACAGCTTCCGCATGAGCACAATTAAGTGTTCTGGAATTCCCATTCTTACCAACGTTATACATATTTTTCATGACGCACACAGTCAAATGTCTTTGCATAGTCAATAAAAGGCTGGCAAACAATCTTTCTGGTATTTTCTGCTTTCAACCAGAGAATTGTCACCTGGCTATAATCATTACTTAATAAAGATTTGTTGAATGTACAGGTGGATGGGTGATAGGAAGAGACAGTGTTTTTACGATTATTCTTCAGTGCTTCAACCTGAAAAAAAAAAAAGATTAATCCAGTAGAACTGGACTTATATGACCAACATGTTTGAAGAAATAAAATTGAGAGTAAGCATAACTGAAGGTTTTTGAAGCAAATATTCGAGAGTTGCTGTATATGCTAAGAATTAGCAAATAGACAAATACAGCTGTACAGCAGTTGACATAATGCTGATAATCAACAAAACTTGAGAACATAACTGTAGAACAAAAATGAGCTCAAGTTTTATAGGAAGTAGAAGGCTAACCTGGCAACCTTCATATTTTACTGGCCTTATGAAAAAAATACTCTCAAGTGTGTGCATGGTTTGAACCATTGCTTTCTTTTGGGAAGTAATTGGTTAATCTAGGGAAACTAGTAATTACTCATATCAATAAAGGAATATTATTTTTAAAAGATGTCTATGCAGTTTAGTTAGGTGTCTCCATGGCTTAGGATTACATGTGCTTACAGTCTCATCTGAAAGCTTAACTGGGTGGATTAGGGGGTTAGGGGAAGGCAGAGGAACTGCTCCCGAACTCACGTGGTTATTGGCAGACCTCAGTTCTTTAAGGCTTACTGGGTCTTTTCTATAGTTGCCAAATGATGTGGCAGTTGGCTTTCCAGAGGGTGAACTACCCAAGAGACAACAAGAGATTCCATCAAATATGGAAGTCATATTCTTTTGACAAGACATTAGACAGTGTGGACTGTTATGGATACCACTGTGAAGAGTGGGAATTCCAGAGCTCTTAATTGTGCTCATGAGGAACCTGTACATAGATGAAAAGACAGTTGTTCAAACAGAACGAGGTGTTACCATGTGGTTTAAAATCACGTCAGGTGTGCGTCAAGATTGCATCTTTCACCATACTCATCAATCTGAACACCAAGAAAACAATTCAAGAAGCTGGCCTATGTGAAGAAGAATGTGACATCAAGATTGGAGGAAAACTCATTAAAAACCTGCAAAATGCAGATGATACAATCTTGCTTGCTGAAACTGAAGAGCACTTAAAGCACTTACTGATGAAGATCAAAGACTACAATCTTTAGTATGGATTACACCTCAACAAAAAGAAAACAAAAATCCTCTCACAACTGGACCACTAAGCAACATTATGATAAACTTAGAAGTGAGGATGGTGAGACTTCATCTCATGTACTTTGAACATGTTATGAGGAGGAACCAGTCCCTGGAGAAGAACAACACATTTGGTAAAGCAGATGGTCTGCAGAAAAGAGAAAGACCCTCAATGAAATAAATTATACATAGGATTGCTACGAGATGGAACAAATTCAACAGCATCTTACAACAACAACACTATAGCCAGGGATCATTTTAGGCACCAAGGGATACAGCAGCGAACCAACAGACAAAAATCCTACACTCAATGGTGCTTATGTTCCAGTGATGGATATTTACAATAATGTAATAATATACAAGTAAAAATTCATAGCATATTATACAGTATAAATGCTTAGGAAAAGGGTTAGGCAAGAATGATAGCATTTAAAATGTTAAGAAAAACAGAGTTAGAATTTTAGATAGGGTGGCCTAAGAAGGTTTTACTACAGAATTGATTGACTAAAATAAGAAAAGTCACTGCTAAAGGGGCAAGGAGACCACATCTTCTGACCTCCTCTAACCCCACAAGACACAGAATCACCATCAATAGCCAAAGGCCTATTCTTGTGAGGCCAGACATGCTGTCTCCTTCCAGCCCTTTCCTCAACCCTGATACCAACCAATCCTCCCGCAGCACCCACGACCTCTTCACTGGGTTCGATAATTCACTGCAGTGACCACACAGAACTCACAGATTATGGGGTTTATTAGGAAAGCACCAGGCTACAATTCAAGCTCAGAAACAATGCTCAGTCTCTCATCTGCCATCTCTCAGCCAACAGTCTCTCTCAGTCTCTCTCCAAGCAGTGTGTGTCTCTCGGTGTCTCTCTCATCAGTGTGTGTCTCTCAGTGTCTCTCTCTTAGCAGTATGTGTCTCTCAGGAGCACGTTTCTCTTAAGAGCACATCTTTCTCAGCCAGCAGTCAGAGAGACTTCCTCTGCCTCTAAAAGGGCTCCTTTTGAGCCTGACAGAATGACCACTAACCAATCCCAACATCAGAATTCTATACACCTGAGAGAGAGAGAGAGAAAACTTCCCAGAAAATTACTTGGTGCTATACCCAAAAGAAATACCCCAGGTGGATAACTTTAGCAATCAGGAGCTACTCAGTTGCTCATAGCAAATTCCACCAAAGAGTTTACAAAGACTTATGGCTAGAAAGCCACACTATGTCATTTACTATACCGCAGGCCACCCCCTGGCTTTTCTAGCCACTATCCCTTTTATACTTCAAAAATTAACATTACCATCACCATCAGTTAAAATTAACCACACTCATGAAAGCATGCAAGCCAGCCACTTCATGCCTTTACCTCTCCCCATTTTAGACAACCAATTTCTAATTTGGCCATCCCTCTGGTAGGATAGTG